CTTGGCTCACCAGAGCGACTCCCCCCCCCCGCCACTTCCAGGCTGCCTCCCCTGGCAAACCTTCAGATAGGAGACGACTTTCTCAGCATCGCCTGGGCTCACACCACACTCGGCCCACAGAGGCATTAAGTTGGGCGGGTAAAAGGCCTTGTTTGGCCTCTGGCGGAGGAGGTTGTAATCAAACCAGATGCCCGCGTCTTCATTCCAGAAGAGGCGCTGCATTGCGAGGGCCCGTTTCCCGTGAGCCACCTGGAACTGCTTGGCTTTGACGTTCTCCCCTGAAGGAGGAGGAGGTCTCTCATTCACCACCACCACCACCACCCCTCGTTGATAAACCTCCCCAAACCCCAAGGCAGGTAGGAAGGCAGGGCGGCCGGCAGGCAGGCAAGCAAGGGAGCCCTGCCTCTTGGTCCCACCATCTCAGCCGAGAGCCTGGTCCAAGCCAGGCTGGACTTTTGAGCTAAGCGGATGGGACCTTCCTTTCTCCCACGGCTTCGCCCAGGCCTACCAATTCCCTTCTAATGAGCAGCTTGGCCCAAAGCCTGAGACGGGTGAGATCCTGTGATTCTGGACGGGCGCCTTCTGGAAACAGGCACAAGGCTCCCCACCGCCTGCCTTGCGTCAAGCAGCAGAAAGGGCACAATCCCCCAATCTCTGCCCAGCGGCCTCCTCCGGCTCTTGGGTGATTGGGCGAGCACGACGCAGGCACAACCCCCTTCTTCACCTTTCGGCTGAGGCAGGGAATCCTGGCCCTCCCCAGGAGGGAGCGAGTCAAGAAGGCCTTCAAGCCTCCTCGCACATACAAATCCAAGTCCGCCCTGTCCTGGAGGCCCTGAGCCTGAGACCTTCACCCCACCCCCCACCCCCAATCCGGAGACCTGGAGAGGCATCATCAAAAACCCCAGGATGACCACCCGTCCCCTGGGATGGGCCAGGCCAGCTTGAAGGGCAAGGGTCTCCAGAAGTCTCTCCACATGAAACCACACCGATGGGTAAGCAACACGGGAGTCGCCTTCTGCAAGTCCTCACCCAGAGCCTCGTAAAAGTTGGCCAGGAGCTGCTCCACTCTGCAAAGGATGGCATTCAAATCCACGGGAACCACGGAGCTCGTCCTGGTGTCTTGCAGGGTGGCCTCCAGCGGGGGTGGCCCCGGCAGGAACCAGCGGGAGGAGAAATCCCAGCCGGACTCCGCTCCGCTGTGGAGCTCGGCCCACAGAGCCCGCCGGGCCTCTACGGGGACAAAGGCCGTGGGAAAGGGTCAGGGCTAGAGGCGAGGGAGCAGACGGGCCCCGTGGGCCGCCTCCCGCCTAACCCCCAAGCCCCTCGTTCCATCGGCTCCTGCTTCACGAGGCTTGGTACCGTTAGCCACGTAAATAGGCAGGGCCACGGGACACCCCTCCAGGTCCGCGTCTGTGGAGAAGAATCTGAGCAAGTCCCTCCTAAGAAAGGAGAACTCGTGCTGTCTGCGGGGGGGGGGGGAACCAGACCCGAGCCCCCACCCGCCCTGCGGTGAAAGCTCCAAGGAGGCCACTCACCTTCAGGCAGGCCCATGGCCAGCTGCACATCCTTCCAGTAGGACTCTGGCCTGCGGGAAAGGGAGAAGAGGCCGTGTCCCCCTCCGGTCAAGGCCCCCTCTGGGGGGAGAGAAGCCCTGTCCTTAACCACCGCTCCCCACTCACCTGGGCTCCCCGACTCGGACACGGTAGCGGTTCAGGACATACTCCTGGCCCCCAAAGGAGACGTTGACAGTCCGGTTCTCTTGCCAAAAGCGGTATTCAGCCTCAAGAAGGCCAATGTTTTCCCTGGAAAAGGCAGCAGCCATCAGGACAAACCGGGAGGAGCTCTCGGCGAGGGTCAGGTGGCGGAAGGAGGCCGACACAGGCCCTGATTCTAAAGCACCGCACCCCCAACCCCCCACCCCACGGCCCTTTGGACAGGTTGGCCCTCCCTCCCCTGCCAAACCATGAGGGGTGGCCTCTGAGAGACCTTGCTTGCTTCATGCTTTCTCTTCACCCGCCGAGGGGAGACCCGGGCCTGTTACCTCAGAAAGTCTGTGTTGTTGGTGTGTCTCAGGTAACTCTCCACCATCAGGGTGAGGAAGGGGGGCTGGCTCCGTTGCTCGTAATATACCCGGCCCCCGTTTGGGATGTGTCCAAATCTGCCAGCAAGATACAACGCAAGGGCTGGCGAATGGAGGCAATGGGCCTTGATGGAAGGTGAGGTGGGTGGGACATGCACAGATTACCCACCCTGGTCCCAATCCCCTGCACTGGTTGAAAGCCTTCGGTGACCATCCTCCAATGCAGTGGACCTTGGGAGCCCTGAGATTTAGGGGCCCACAGCAGAGGGCCGTGGGGGGTGTGCCAGTGGGGGGGGGAGGCAGGCACGTTTGGGAAGGGGGAAGGACTGCCTGAGATTCAGCAACTTGTAGAAAGAGGAACAAGGGTGGTCTCGCACCCCTCCCTGTTAGATAGGCAGCCTTGGAAGGAGGCAGGGGGTCTCCCGCAACCCCCCCCATCCGTTCTTTCCAGAGACCCTCACTTGTCCACAAGGTAGATGAAGTTTTTGATCATGCCCTCTGCCGTGGCTGTCATGTTGCTGAGCAGGAGCCCCTCGATGACCCAGAAGGAGTCCCTGCAGGAAGAGGGTAAGACTGAGAAGACCCCCAGCCTTGGGGGCATGTGTGTATGCGCTGGGGAGGGGCAGCCCCCATGGAGATAAGCATCCAGGCGGGCCCCAGAATCCTTCCCCTGTGGGGCACAGCCACCTGCTACCAGGCCGGCCTGCTTCTCACCAGTAGTAATATTCTCTGAAGCGCCCACCAGGCACAATCAGCGGGTGAGGCACATAGATCAGGGAGTGGCGCTCAGGGCTGGTTTTGACCTCTGGCTTCATCTGAAAGGGAAACAGGTGAGGGACTCTTGCCGTTACGGGCATGGCCAAGTCCCACCCCCTCTTTCCCACTCGAGTCGGGTCGGGTGACCCCCATCCACCCCCTGGGGGGGGGCTTACCTGCCTCCCCAGCTGCTTCCACTTTTCATTCAGCTCCTGTGCCCAAGACCGCAGCTTCTCATCCAAAATCCTCTCAAGGAGTGTGGGTCTAGAAAGGGGTAAGAAAAGGAAGGGGCAGCCAGGGGAATGGCAGAAAGGGACGGGACGGTTCCCTTTGGGGCTCACCTGATGGCCCTCAATGGAGAAGGTTACCAGAGAGCGTCTTTGGAGGCACAACGGCACCTTTTCGGGCCCTTACAAACAACACCCTACCATTGTGGGGCTATGACAGTCCCTCTCAACCACGGGGAAGCCAACCCCATCATTTGTTACATGGCAGAACAATAAAATGCAACAAACTGCTAAACAGGTGAAATTTCTGGGGGAAAAGGAAGGTGTCCCCCTGGCATAAAAGAGTAAGAGGTGAGCCCCTAGGGGGAAGAAAAGGGAGACCGCAGGCCAGACCATCCTGCTGGGCTCGTCAGTGTTTGGCACCTCAAGAGGAGGCGGCCAACTTAAAATAGGGGCTCCCTGTTTTAAGGACAAAGCCAGAAATGGCTGCTACCCAGCATGCCTCTGGCCACCAGCCCCTGGGGAGGGCGCAGCCTTCCTAAAGGAATGTGTTTGTGGCTTTAAAGGTATCCTTGTACAATTGTTTCACTCACAACATTCCAGAATGGTTTACAACAACAACAACAAAACAGATACAATAAAGCCAAGAGTGACTAATAACAAAATGACAGAAGCCACTGGAAACAATTTGTTGAAAACCAGGAACAACTGATACTGTTATCAACCAGTAATTGGAAAATAATGGAGAAGACGCAGGTGAAAGCTCATAGGTCTTCCACAGATG